TGTATTATTTTTAAATGAAATTTTACTTGACTCTTACATCGCCCTTTCTATTTGTATTAATTACTGTTATTAAACATCACAAATATGAGAATGGTCTATAAATATTGACCTGAAAAGAGCAAGATGGCAAGAAATGGATTACCATAAGCAGCGAGTATTTAAAATTATTTCACTAATACACTCGCTACAGAAATATAAATGTAAAATAGTTCCGTTTAAATGAATGATAATTGTAAAAATATTTTTATTTTCCAAGGCATATTGTTATGGGCTTAACGCAATGTGGCCAATTCCTGCTCACGTATACATACACGTTGGACGTCAGCAGCAACACGTCTTTGTACAAATATCTGTTACATTGGTGGGCTTTCACACCCAACCGTGTAGCCCGCAAAGTTTCCGAAGTTACATTGTTTGGCAATTATACAATTTATAGGGAATTAAACATAGTTATATCTCAATGGCCGATGGAACGGAATAAACTTGTAATTCATGGTCTTGGGTAAATATTCCTGAATAATATGTTTATTTTTATTTCTGCAATAAACTGCACTAGAACTTTCTAACATAAAAAGTGTGCACAAGTTTACCTATAAAAAAACAAACTACTTCTTGTCTTTTTGAAAAAGCTCTAAAATACGGTACACAAATCAGTAATATTATTTATCTATTACAGTACAAATTTCTTACATTTACAACCGACTGATAGAGCATATTTAACAATAACGACAGTACCGTCTCTTGAGAATTGCAAAGATTGTTTGAAAGTTGCTGCATCGTATGAAGAAGAAGGCGAAGGTAACAAATAATTCACAATTTTTAGGTGGAAAATAAATATATCTTTAAATTATATTTGAAATTATTTATGCAATATTTTCAAACGGTATTTGAAATCATTGTATAAATAAATACAATATAAATATACATTTATTTTTTCTCTTGTTTTTCAAATTGTATTTGAAAATAATATATTAAACATACTCGTAATGTATGTATATAGTGTAATAGTATTAATCGAAATTAACTTTATCAGAATTAGCTGCAAATTGGGATAGCTGTGTACGATGTAACTGTTTACAACATGGCCTTACGGTTCACACGACTTATGAAGTCATCTCACCGTACCCGAAGTTTCGAGCCACAGTGTGTCTGAATTATTGGAATCACGTTGTGGTCAATACGGGAAATTTCCTACATGTTCTCAGGGTAGATTTAAATATACCTAAATCGAAGAATCAGAGAGCGTGCGATAAACAAGATAGCGTCATACATGATCCCGTCGTTCCGGACACGATCCCACTGGACATGAGCGATGTCGAGGAAACGGATTACTCGACAAGGACAGAACGATATGAGAGTTCGGATGAAAAAGTGAGCACGCCGGAATGCGTCGATCGATCTCCCAAATGCGAATCCAGCATAGAGCACGATTTTTTAGACGAGCCAATTAAATTAGACGATAAGCTAGGACATGATTTGCTATTAAATACCTCAAGCAGTAATCAAAGCGACTATGTCTGTGATATAAATAGTAAGTCTACTGCTGCAGGCGCTTTAAACGTTAAGTTCTGCGAATGCTTGGACATGACTGAATGTAAGTGCCGAAATAGCAGCAGCAGCTGCAGCAGCAGCCCTGTCTCGCGGCCGGCTGGTGTTGAACAGACGGCCATCTCTGTACGGGACAAGATCCTACAGGATTTCTGCGAGGACACATCGCAGGAGCTCAATATCGGCAGCGATCTTATCACGTTAGTGAAACATCCGTCGTGCTCGCCGCGTTCGACGCCACAGAGACTGCCTGCTGATCTTAGGGCGATGACCACGTGGTCGTTACCGATTCTTACTCCACCGTCGGATATCCTTCGCACTCGCAATTCGGAATCTAGTCATAGAATCCAGGTCCAACGCAATAGCAATAGCAGCCAGCAACGCCCGAGCTCGCCGCAACCTGGTGCATCGCAACGAGACAACTCCGTGGCTTCCATAAACTCACCGTTGCAATCTGTGTCGATCAGTCCCTCGTCCTCATATTCGTCTCGTTTGATGTCGCCGCCTATTGCCCGATCCTTTCGCCATCCGAGCTCGCGCAAGAGATCGAATCTGCATTCACCTCCGCCCGTTCCGACTCAATCGACAAGAACGACGAGAGCGACGCATAAGCTCATCCTCGAAGCGGAGAAAGCATACGAGTTCACCGACGAGGCACAGGAGACAACCTGCGAAAAGCTCAGTTCATTCAGAAAGCGCCGACTCGCCGACAAAAAGTATGAGTTTTGCGATGAGACGGAGGACGCGGAGAATATAGTTCCTTTTAAGCACATACGTGACCAGTTCAGACATCGCGGTACCTGCTCCATACATCAGATTCCCTCCTCGCCGGCGATGTCGCCGGTTCTACCCAATGGACGAAGGCATTGGGTCGATTCGGATCAAAGTGAATCAGACGAATTGAATCTTGCTCAAGATATTAGTATAGCCAATGATTTATCGAATACCGAATCAGGTATAATGTCACAATCATTATCAAAATAAAACGAGAGTTTGAATAAAATGACGAACTTTATACTTTTATTTTCTAGCTGAAAAAAGTGTTTTACGACCATTGAATCAAAACCAGCTTTCTAACGGAAGCGTGCACAGAGACCGTGTTGGCAAGTGTTGCTCGAATTTCTCGCCATTGGTTCCCAGGAATAATTTGCAGTACCCTCTAATAAAATGCACCGCGCGTTTTAAACGGAGCTACATAGAACTTGACGATGAAATGATATCGGTGATCACAGATGTGGAAGGTATAGATTTATTATTATTAATTTGCAGGTATATGATTTTGTAGATTATGGCTTATAATGCTTTTTATTACATATGTAACTAGTGTTATATTGAGACTATGCTTACAGATGAAGAGACAGGCGGGTATGTAAGTTACCAGTGTGTACTTCCGATGCTCGTGCATGGCTCCGGATATGTTCAAATGCAAATGATCAGCAATAGTAAAGCAGAAAAGCTGGTATTTATTATTTAAAAAAATGGAACTTTCTCAAAGTGAAACTTTTTAAGTGGTTGAAATATAAATGTATAGGATGGGCAACAAGAAAGGAAAAGAATTTAAGAAATTATTCTAAATGATAAAATCAGACGAAAATAAAAAATAATAAAATTTTTAATTTGGCTTTGTTTTTTAATTATAAATGTTTAAACATTCACATACACTATTACGTGAATGTTTAAACTTTTAGAATACTGTAAACTAAAAATACAGAGGAAGCTTTTTATCTTAAATCGGTTTAAAATTTTCTATCATCTGTTGCCGAATTCATCTTGTATATACAGTTGATGAAAGAATAATTATAAATAAAATATGAACGTATTTCTGATGTAACAAAAATACTTTCAGATAGTGCCATGCGTTTCTATAACACAATTGAGTTTTGATATCGAGACTTTTTCTCACCACATAGCAGATTGGATCTGCTCAAGATTTAAGAAAAAGTATTGGCATTGTAGCGATTATGATATCGAAATAATTGATGTATGTGCGCTTAGCGGCGATATTATATGTTTGCATATAATGAAAATCCAAGCAAGTGAGTTATGTAATCAGACACAATGGTAAGCACACATGCCATCCTACGAATTAATTCGTTGATTCCTTTGCACGTTAATTTTGCATATTACATTTTAAAATTTAAATAAAACAGTCTCAATAAATTAATATGATACATCCAGTATTCCGCAAGAGAGGAAGCAGTACGAAGTCGGATGTAAGTTCACATGGAACATCGATACGAGCCAATACAGGATAACGGATGTGTTACCAATGGAGGAGGTAAAGCCTGAATCTTGGAAGCCGACTATCACAAATATACCGAATTTTCGTAGCCAATTATGGAATCCAACCCGCCGTTTGGCTACGCAATTGCGGGAAAAGATTCAACAACCATACGCGCACACAGTGCGTTTTCTTCATAACGAGATGAGTTTAGCAGGTCAGTATCTGAATTTATCGAATTTATAGAACGAATGCGTACATTGAGTTTGTTGCAGGTGAATCTATAACCAAGCTCATCGATCTGGACAATCTAGTGCAGTTCTATATAACGCCAGAATACTACGTAGAACGTACAAACGACGCCTTAATGGAGTGAGGAAAGATGCAAGAGCCATCGCACTTCATTGCAAACAATAATTTATTTATTGATACAAACTCCGCCATTTTTGCCAACTCGCCGAGTCGCGGCATATAATGTAGAGAAACGCATTGTTAACAATATTGTTAGCAGCAAAGAGTATCTTCCCTTTCGAGCATAAATAACAGATATACAGAGGAATGTGTAAGCCATATAGAACTCTTGCTACATCTTCTTTTTTACTTGCTGCTAAACAAAATCGGTTCAGGGCGGTGCGATTTGTTTATAACTTAGAGACATAGATTAAAGGTACTAATTAATGATACAACGAAATTCTCGCAAGCGTTTTGCTCCAATTTGTAAAATTTACCAGTGCTATATACTATACATTGACGCTGTCTACGCTATCATGGTAACTACTGTACTTTGGTAACTAGTAGATATAGATGACAAAACTGATTGTCAATAAATGTATTGTAATGTGATTCAAAGTAAGAAAGAGAGAGCAAAGGGAATGGCGCGATAATTGTCTTGATATACTTTGGTCCCCAAAACTAATTGATGATCTAAAGCTCTACAGAAGAAAGAACAAGATGTACAAGAAAATTTTTTTGTACGTGATATATACCGAAACATGTCCTGCATGCGTGTAGGACCAAATATGTTATACTTAATATTTCATGTTATCACAAGGTTATTGTATCATAAAGGCGAATTTTTGCAGAATTTTAGAGTTTTGATATTAGCGTATTATAATGTGCATTAAATGCAACTTTCATCGTCATTAAATGCGTGCGTGACGTCGCAAATACTGCATAATATATTTTTTGTTCGAGAAACGATTCAATTTTAAAAGCAATGATATTGAAACTGATAATAGATCGTTTTTTAGATTGTAATAAACTTTGTGTCATTATTTAATAGAAATTCTTTTAAACTGGTGTATTACCTTCGTATATATAATGAATATTTATTCTATATCCTTTTGAGTGGCCAAAGGACTAGCAGTTCAAACTGGTATCTTAACAGACGGCCCTACGTTAACGTCAGATCCGATTCCGTCCAACTTAAGACCGGTAAGAATTTCCTCCCACGCGTTCATGCACTGTTGATAATGTCTGATATGTCGGTCCGCCATTGTGATCAGCATGTTCTTCAGATCCTGTTGCTTTTCCACGTTCCACCTCTGAAAATCGCTTCGTAGATTCTCATTCGCGCACTCCACGCGATCCTGTAGTATCTCCGCTTGTTTGGCTAATCGTGGGATAGTTTGACCGAGTCTTTCCAATTTTTCATCGCGAGATTCTGCTTTCCATAGAGATCCACCCCAGCCTTGCGCCGGAATTGTGTAGCTCGTATTTCCTATCAACTATATGAATGCAATTAAATGTAACTGTAATTAACTACCTACTTTCTAGCAATATAAAATAGCAATATAAAATGCAAGTAACTGCCTATTTTCTAGCAATATAAAAATGTATATATTTATTAATTTCTCCTTAGATTAAAAAAAATTTAAACTGTAGCGTATATCAATAATTATATAAACTATTATTGATATATGTAGAAATACATTACGTTTTCTTTTCAACGAACTTAAAAAAGATTACAAAAGAGGAAGATATAAGCGAGACTTATACCTGATCCTTTTCTAATCTTCTTTTCGCCAATACATCGATTGTTATCTCGTATTCAATCTGCATCGAATCACGGCGGGATAATGCACTCTTGACCGCTTCAATGTATGAAACATACTCGCGTTCATCGTTAGGAACATTTTCCAGAAGTTTCTTATGGGCCATTGCGTTCGCTTCTATCGCTTTAGCGATCGCTAATAAAATGGGTGCAAGTTCCGGTTCTGAAGTTGACCACAGTGTGAATATGGGATGTAGTTGATGAAGTTCCAATAAATAATCTATTGCGTTATAATGTACAACATGAGAAATGACTGAGAGCTATTTTATTACATGTATGACATGTATTTATGAGCATTTTTTTGTTGCGCACCTTGCCTTTCTTTATGTATGCGATGATTGATCTTATCTATGGTCGACAGCTTTTCACCCAACGCTGTACAGTAGTCGCGAATCTGCTCGAACTCCAAGTGACGTTGCTTCATCGTATAAGTACTTGCTATGTTTTGTAAAGAATCTGTCACTTTTTCGAGCATATTTCCGCGATTTTTACGATGAATGAGAAATTCCTGTAATTGATTTAAACAGTAATTGATGTAAAGTTGATACGGTGCTATAGCAACATCAAACTTACCGTAGGTTTTGTTGTGAGAAAAATATGGAGATTCTTGTCACAACTCAGAATAGGATGATTTACGACTCTGTTAAGGAATATATGCAAAAGTTTCATACGTGCTATGATAAATTCCTTGGAATAACGGTCGAGTTGAGCGAGTAATGTATGCTTGCCTGGCATTGGCTGTAACAGAATCCGATTTATAAACAATCTTTTAGCCTCTTCTCAATTTGTGTATCATTTTAATCGTATGTATCTCAATTATAGTTTATACGTCATATATATTTTATGTATCAAAAATAACAATGAAAACTTACTGGTATAATGTGTGTTGGATAAGTGTCCACTAATTTCTGACGCAACCAAATGAAGTCATTATATCGCCTGCGAACTACATATTCTCCTTCCTCGAACTCTAAGCGTGTAGTCTGAGGGATTTTATTTAATATTATATTATTTT